AAGTGCTATATTTACTATAAGCCTAGCTACTAGTTAATAAAGCATACTACTAATAAAAGACGTAAAGCGTACTAGTAATTTAAAAGTAACTATTATATTAAAAATACCTTACTAACTATATATAATACCTTTCTTACTAGCTATAAAAGCACCTATTTATAAAAAAGAGAAAATAAAAATAGTAATAATAATAAGAATCTTTAGTAGTATCTCTAAGGGGCCTACTTTATTATTAGTAATAATAAAGAATAAGATAATAGTATATTTTATATCTTAACTATATTCTATAGTAGCACTAAAGTAGATAGTAATATACTTACTACTAACCTTACTAACTAAGCTATTTATTACTAATTAATAAAAATTAACCCTAATAGTACCTCTACTAAGTTACTTAGTACCTTTATACTAAATTATTACTTATTAGCTACCTTTTAAGGTATTTTACTAGATATAGGCGTAGTAAGTTATTTAACTATAAGCTATTTATAAGCTATTACACTATAGTAGATTTAGCTATTTATAACTATTAACATTATAGCAGTAAGTAAGGTAAAGATTAGATTTAGTAGTAGTAATACTATTACTTTATAAAGCACTATTATAGTAAAGACTCCCTTTAGGTATATTACCTTCTATATAGTACCTACTAATATACCTTTCTTACTTTACTTAGCTAATATAGATTAGCTATTAATTTAATTTAATAACCTTATAAATACTCTTTAATAAGGTAAACTTATAGTACTAGTTATATAAAAATAAGGCTACCTATAGATACTACTTAGCCTGCTTAAGTAAAGCCTTATAAGTTATTACCTAACTAATATTAAGCTATACTACTTTTATTAATAGTTTAGCTATTTATTAATTTACTAGCTATATAGAATTATTTATAAGGCTAGCTATAAGGTTAAAATAAAAGTAATTAAACACTTAATAAAGTACTATTATTATTACTAGATTTATAAGAAGGCTTCTTCTTAATTTTAATTTACCTTATATAATAACTATTTATTTAATTATAAAGTTATTATTAATATTATATACCTTAATAGTAACCCTATACTTTATATTATTAATACTACTACTGCTTTTAATATAGCCTCCTTCCTCTATAATATTTTAGTAAAAACTATATAAGAGGTACTATATTACTACTAGATTAATATCTACTAAGGACCTCTAGATTAGATTATTACTAATATAAAGTAGAACTTTATCTTAACTAAATTTTTATATAAAGCCTATATAATAGGCGTTAAAGTTAAGATTATCCCTATTAAAGCGTATTATAGTATTAAGAAGGTTAAAAGATACTACGCTATACTCTAATAAGTATATAAAATAATCTAAAAAAAATACCTATCTATTAACTATAAAGTAGTACTTTAAAGCGCTACTAAAGTAGTTAATAATACTACTAGCCTAAATAGCCTTATACTTACTTTATTAGTATTTAGTACCTACTTCTATATAACTACTAACTTTACCCCTTTACTTAAAATAATCTAACGTATAATAGCTATCTATAAAGTAACTAAAGATCTTTATAAATATAATATAACGTAGTAAACTAATAAGGCTCTTACTACTTATAACAGCCTAAATACCTTTATAATAAAAGATCTACCCTTAGGTAGTAATATCTACGTCTAATATAAAAAAAGAGGTTAGTCTAGCCTATATAAGTTACTTACTACTTAAGGTAAAGACTTTACTATTAATATTAATAGCCCTTACGTTTTTTAATCTATATTAGTTAAGCTATACTATATAGTAGATAATAAAAAAGGAGGCTTAGCTAAGTAATATCCCCTATTTATCCTAAATAATAATAGTAGTTATAGTAATAAGCTTACTAAAGATACTATTATTATTATAACTAGTTTAAGGTAGTAGCTATACACTAATAATCCTACTATTATATAACCTTAATAAGCTAGGAAAATCCCTATAAGATATACTTTACTATAAGAGACTAATATACCTTATACTACCTTCCTCTTAGTAAAAGAAGAAGCCTATTAAACCCTTATAATCTAACTATATAAAAAAGGCGTTATTATAGCACCTAGTAAGCTATTTAAGTAATTAGTAGCTACTAAGATTAATAGCCTTATTATATAAGGTATCTTTAAATTTACTATAATTAACTAACTTTAGCTATATAAGTAAATTTTTAAATTATAAATTATAAATAAGGTAAAAGGCACTAATAAGAAGCCTTATAAGAAATTACACCTTATTATTTAAGGCTATACTAATAATAGTAAAGAGGCTATTCTTACTTAGTTACTTACTATTTAGTAAGCTAGCTAGTAGCTTATCCTTATACTAGCCTTTTCCTTTTTTATTAATAGTAAAGTTATATAGCTATATAATATTATATAGGCCTATATTTAATCTACTTCTTACCTTAACTATACTATTTATACTAAACTCCTAGCCTAAATCTATTATAAGTACCTTAATAATACTATTATAAAGGTTATTAAGCCTCTATATAAGATTACTAAAGTAGGTATATACTAGTAGGCTACTTATAACTATTACTATAAGGAGAATCTCTAGATAGTCTTTACTATATATAACCCCTACCTTCTCTTATTATCTAGTAAAAATCTATACTTTATACTTATTAGTATATAAATAGATAATACTATTAGCCTAATAGACCTTTTATTTTCTAACTAAGAGAATAAAGAACTAACTAAAGTAAAATTTACTATAAAGAATAAGTTATTCCTTACTATTAACTAACTGCTTACCTTTAATAGTAGGATTATTATAGTTATATTTACTATAAACACTTTTATTACACTTTACTAAAAAAAGTAAGAAGTAAAATAATAATTAATTAATATAAAGTTACTTATAGCCTACTAAGATTTTATTTAGTAATAGGTATAAGGAGTATATATTACCTCTATTTACTAGCCTAAAGCGTACTATAATCTTTTTATTATAGCCTAATATAAAAAGCTAGATAATAAGGTAATTAAAAACCTTAACTATTAACTATAATAGTAAATAAGCTTACTTAACTATAGTTTATAATTTATCCCCTTAAATCTTATATTAGCTAAGCTATTTATATTTATAAATAAATTATTTACTAATAATTATAATATAACTTTATAGTTAGGATTTATTATCCTCTTTATAAATAAGGAAGTTAATAATAACTAAGCTAAATTTCTTTTTTATAGTAATATCTTTTATTTCTTATCTATAAAGTCTAAATAAGTTACCTAAAGCGTCTTTATATCTAAAGTATATAAGATAGTTATAGGCGTTAATATAGCTTACGCCCTCTTTATAACTATTATAATAATTATAAAAAAGCTTAATATCCTATTAATCCTAACTATTATATATATAGACTTATATTTACTTTATAAATACCTAGTTAAGCTAAGAACTATAAGGGAGAAGCGTCTTATAATTAATATTATATTACTAAGATAGTCTTATAAGTAATATAAGCTTTATAAAGTCTAATAAATTACTAGATCTAATAATCTAGCTAATAGATTTATAAAAGTATCCTTAAATTAAGCACTTAAGAGCCTAGTTATAAATAATAAAGCTAAAATATATATAAAAAGTTAGGTTATATAAGTATAATAAATTATAATAAGTATATAGTAAAAAATAAATTATAAGTTATATAACTAACTAAACTATAATAGTAGTAGTTAAATCTAACTAATATAAAAATACGCCTCTAATAGCTATAGCTAAAAAGAAATACCTCTAAATAAGTTAGTATAAGCTTATACTATTTATAAGGAAAAATAAAGAATATAAGAATATATAGCACGTAACTATAAGAAGTATAATACTTTTAGAGTTTTAATTTTTATTACGTTTTTAAGGCTTTTAAGGGTAATCTAGATAACTAGGGCACTAGTAACTTTTACTATAAAAGAAAAGTTACTAGTATTAGTATATAGTAGGTATACTTTAGGGGAGGTAGTTATATAATATTTATATAATACACTACCTCTTTTAGTAGTATCTACTTTACTACTAGTATACTACTTAAAAGTCTAGATTTACTTTATAACTAACTAATATAAAAAAAAAACTATATTCTATATTATAATTTGTTACGTGATCTACAGGATATCCCTCTTACGTGATTTAACTAACAGTGATAATATCTCACGTTAGCGGCGGCGATGGTGTGGGTTCGAGAGGCAGCAAAGACGAATATGCCGGCAAGATCCGACGCTGAGCGTTATTAGGCCTCGCCTCTGACGACTCTATGGCATCCGGAATGTGTTTCATCCGTTCAAGCATACTAATGTCCTCCGAGCCATTCCGCCGATCAATTCAAATGACTTGATCATGCCGGAAACAATGGCATCCGAGTGATAGCCCAATTAAGAGGGTTAAATTTATAACCAGTAACTCCTTTTAGTTCGAACATTGCCTTCGCTCGTCTGCTAGATAATGAGGAATCCGAGAGGCATGGTAAACGGGCGTAAATGATGGTTTGGTGCTTTCAAGACGCTCCCAGCCCGCGGGGTTCGGATATCTGGCTTAGACTATCCGGTCAACCCAGTCCAGGACTTCAACGGCTTCTGCCGTCGAATGAGACGAATAGTATTTCCAAAAGAATATAGACCATTGCCCTGATTCGCATGATGCTCCTCCGGATCGGAGGAGACCCGGCGCTAGTGCCTGGCAGTCCACTAGCTCCAAGCTCGTAGGCATGAGACTAGTGCCAAGGCTTGACGAGACCATCTTTCCTATTTGGTATCAGTTGGCAAACATTCTACATCTTTGGTTGATAGGAAAACCAATGTATGACACATCACAGATGGATTAGGTTGTGCAAGTAGTACGCTTGCGACATTTAATGCTGTTTCTCACAGCATTTATAGACTGGACACCTCTTAGGTCTGACAAGAGAGACCCAGCAACTTCCCTTTCTTCATGATACCACATCATAGCACAACAACTTCTTCAAAGTTCAACTGTCTTTTAAAATGCATTCCAAGAACATCCTTACCATTATGGCTGCAGCCGGTGTCGCAGTCGCCCAGCGCCCGACTGATACACCAATTTGCGACTACTACACGACAGCACTGTTGAAGAACAACACGGCCGAGAACCAATACACCCTGCTGACACTCCTCGTCAACACTGCTGTTATTGGGAATTGTAAGCTGTACCCTAGATTTCAGCTGGAAGATATTTTGACTCTAATTCGTTTAGACACTACGCCAAACGTGGGAGTTAAGGTACCCGGAATTCTAGCAACAGGTACATACAATGGTGCAGAAGTCAATCTCCTCCCTTACTTCAATGGAGAACTTGCCTCCTCAAACAGAGGTGGCGGTTCCGGTGTTTCCATCAACTTCTTGGATGGTGGTGGTGCGGCGCCTCTGATGAAGAACATGCCTGCCAACAACGACCAGTCTAAGCAATAGTGAGTAGCCCAGACCCGAGACATTAACCCGCTTGAAACCAACTAATGTCATCCAGTTTCCTTCTGACCCATCTCTACCAATTTTTCGGCGCTCTTCTCGGTTGCTCCAAGTATGGCATGGCTGGTTTCCCCCGATACAGCGGATTCGCCTCCATGTATGAAGTGCACAAGTTCATGGACCTCGACGAGAATGAGCTCGGATATTTCATCCAGCAGGTTGCTCTTGCAGGAGCATCGTTTGGTGTCACCCAGGATGACCTCAAGGCTGTTGGTACGGCTTTGAACCAGCTCTTTGGGCTCCGTTGTAGTCCTGCCGCTACGGCAATTTCTGAGCAGGGCCCTCAGTTGCAGGCGATATGCATTACTGACAGCTGCCCTCTCTCACCCAACGCCGTTTGTGCCAGCTACCAAGCAGCTGTTGCGCCGAAAAATGCTACTGATAACTCTACTGCCACTAGCTCAACACCGGCGACAACAGTATCCCCAAGCACAGTACCAACGGCCGGCGCAGTTGTGCAGAGCGCAAGCTTGGCCATCCTTGTTGGTGTTCTTGCTTGTCTTGTCTAAATAAGAAGCGATAAAACAAGAAACGAATTGGTGGCTTGATACAATCACTAGAATTTGGTGGAGTTTTGTATCATATTAAATAATGTTGTTTATTCATATGGTAGCTCCTCGCCTCATTTTAGGTATAATCACGCTCGTGTCACAGAAGCCTGCGTGAATACGATCCATTGTACAATGTCCATGTCGGACTGGCCAAATGGACGACTTCACGATACTTGCCCATCCTCTGCTATCTTTACAAGTCCTTCCTATAGACGAGCAGATATTCTCAAGCCATTATAACTTCTCGAGAGTGATTTTGACAGTGTCGACTGGGGACTTTAGCTGGGAGGGATGAACGCCGTCGACCATGATACTATGGCCCTATTGCCTGTCGTTGGATCTCCTAATACGATGATCACGAAGGTAGAACCAGATGCTAATGGCCAGCAGCCCCGCAGCCCCAGTATCATGTACACACGAGCATAGTGGTGAGCGTTCAACAGAACATAAGCCATGTACAAGGCAAAAGCCTTCCACTCCGTCACTATTTGATTAGACTCCAAGCCCTGCTCCGTGATATGGTTGCGGAACTCGACGTCGTCCTTCTTGCACTCGGCAGTATATGGAGTGACGAAGTTGGTCGTTCCACGCTGATCCGTAAGGTGAGAGACATTGAGAGACCCTGAATGGCATCCGGATCTTCCAACAAAACGAGGTGAGGTGAAGGAAATTACAGCTTATTAGCGACCGCAATCAGCGAGGCCCTAGTTTTATATTTCATATTAATGTTCCTTTAGTGCCTAATATTTGCTTAACATATTGCTTGTCATCCTATATCGGTTGTCTATTAGTCTGGCCAAAGTCTCTTCAAACGTAATTAGGCACAGAAAAACAGCATAGAAAGCTTTTTGATAATCATGAAAGGGAACATTGGATCGAGTTGATATATCACTTGATGAACAATTGGAGGTGGAAAACGATATAGAAACATCGATATCGAGCATCGTATCAACTGAGCCTCACCGCTAAAGCCATGTCCTATGTGCATACAATGACATCGTTTTTATGTGAGAGTCTCCCGGACGCACAAGGCTCAACGCTCAATCGTACGTCCAATGGCGGCCTACTTGGCTTCGTCCAGAGCATTCACGAAACACCGATTGGTCACTCAGTCATCCCGAATGTAACGTCCAACTCCGAGGGCTGATGTCGAACAAATCCAAGTTGCTTCGGCAATTACTTTACGCCGTTAAAGCAAGTCGTCATCTAGCTCGAATTAGTGCGAATAGGCCCTATGCTGACCGGCGCGCTGACACTCGGGAGTCGGCAATCATTAGGCCCGAGTCTTGACGTCACGGGTCGTTTAGTCGCAATAATTAGACCTCGGATTGGAATCGGACGTCGGACTAGACAAATTGCCGAGCCTATACGCCGACAAAATGTCCGTCGATGCCAATACATGCTACACGCAACATTGATTTCTCATTGGTATAATATATCATCACAATCCAGCTGGTCTATTGAATGTATGAGAATAATCGGGCCTTGTGCATAGCGAGTAACATTTGCGATAATCTAGAGCTTTTCAGCGAAATCTTCTACTTTTGTCAAAAACATTTTGGATCATATGTCGTCTCTCAAAGTCCTCATCTCGGGCGCGGGCATCGGCGGACAAGCCCTGGCGTTCTGGCTGGCGAAACTCGGCCATGATGTGACCATCGTCGAGCGATCTACTAGTCTTCGCATTCAGGGTCAGCAAATCGACCTTCGCGGCCAGGGCATCGAAGTGGTCCGCCGTATGGGCTTGGAGCAATCCATACGAGCCAGGGTGGTCAACGAGGCCGGCCTCACATTTGTCAACCTTAAAGGCAAGCCGCGGGCTACCTTCGAGGCAAACAAGACCGGCGTCGGCAAGCAGGCGTTTACGTCCGAGTTCGAGATTATGCGTGGCGACCTGGTCCGAATTCTCTTCGAAAAAGCCGAAGATCTTGGGGTCAAGTATGTCTTTGGCGCTTCCATCGAGTCATTTGAACAGGACCCAGACTCGGTCACAGCGCATCTGTCCAACGGCACTACAGCCACATATGATCTTCTCGTTGGAGCGGATGGACAAGGATCCAGAACCAGGCAACTCATGCTTGGCCCTGGAGCCAAGGACCCATTCTATCAGCTTGGCTTGCACATGGCATTCTACACCATCCCGAAGTGGAAGACGGATACCAACTACGCTACTGTCTGTGTTTCCACCAGGAAGCGAGTTATGATGATAAGAAACGACAACCCAGACACGACGCAAGCCTACCTTAGCATCAGTCCAACTGACGACAAAACCGAGAAGCTACTTGTAGACACTGAAACAAGCCGCGACGTCAAACGGCAGAAGCAGGTGTGGTCGGAGCTTTTTAGAGACGCCGGATGGCAGGCAGATCGCTTCGTCGACGCTTTGCAAGAAGCCGGCGTATCTGATGATTTCTATTCCGTGAATATCGGGCAGATTCGAATGAACAAGTACTACAAGAACCGCGTGGTGCTCATCGGCGATGCGGGGTACGCACCAAGCGTTTTGACCGGCAGCGGAACAACCTGTGCATTCATCGGAGCCTACGTTCTGGCAGGAGAGATCTCGGAGCACTGCTCTTCGTCTTCTGGTAGAGTGTCTGATGGGGTGCCAGCCGCCCTTGAATCATATGACCAAAAAGTCTTGAGCTTGATGAACACGGTTCAGGATATCGGGATCAAGCCGTCTTGGATCTTTCCTAACTCACGATGGGCAGTTTCTATCTTCAATAGTATGCTGTGGTTGATGACGACGTTGAAGATTGACAAGATCTTTGAGAGGTTTCAGTCGGATGATGTTGCGGAATGGAAGCTTCCACAATATTCTGGCCTTCCTTACGAGGACACTGAACAAACCAAGAAGGGAGGCAACTGAGTTTCAAGGATAGAGAAAAAGGCAGGTGCGTTCATCTAAGTACACAGTCTAGGGACCACGATTTCGTGCCTTTTTCGATATTGTTTCTTTGCTTAATAGAAAGTCTATTTCTATTCTGTATTTGCTGAAATACCAAGTGACTGTTTGTTTCAGCCACCTGGCCTTGAAGTTATTGAACAAATATAGAGGGAAAGTTGAGGTGACGAACTGCGTGATAATACTCTATTTGCTTTGATAGTTAAAAAGCCCAGAGTGTACTACAATGTGTATTCCTTGACGCATGGAAACAAGATTGCTTCTGGACGCGACAAAAGAAATCAATTGCACCCTCAGAATATAACTGGTCATCTACTTGTCAGAGCATCCGAGCATTGAGAGCAACTCTGCCCGGATATGGCCAAGAGCTTTTACTTGCATTCCATGGTTATCGAAGTTACTGCCAGCCAACCACTTCTGTAAGGCAACTTTTATCAAGGGTCACTCGGTGTCGATGATACTGAACCAGCTCGTATCCCTCGACCTCCCCTTGGTAATTTGATAGTTCCTTATTGTACCTTCATACACATACCCCAGCCGCTCCGCCGTCCTACGAGACGATGTATTCAGACTATTACACTTCCATGACACTCTCCGATACGGCAAAGAACTTCCCTCCTGCACATTGGTCGGCTGCAATACATCCACCAACATCCTATAATGCGCTTCAGTGGCCGCTGCCGTCCGCTGTAGCGCCGGCGCAAACAACGCTCCAATTTCGATCTCACGGTGCATCGCACCAGCCAGCGAATATGCCATGAAGCCAAGAACCTCTATATGTCGGACTGAGCTTTGCATCCCACCAGTTCCTTTCGTCGGGGTCAAGCATGCCGGATCAGCCAGAGCAGCATACACAATGACGTCTGGCTCTGCAACTGCATGTGCGACTTGTTTAAGCATATTCTCTTCCGAACAGACCTCGTCGAACGAGAAGTAGTCCATCAGCCATGGGTTTTCGAGTAGCTGGAGGTTGCGCCAGAAACTGGTCCAGTGAGTCGATACTGACCAGAGTTCGAGCGTAACGAGGGAGCCGTGCAGAATGGCGGAGCCTTCCGGTCCAGCAGCGGGAAGAGTACTGACAACGGGGCCAAGCTCTACACGGAGAACCGGCGGGTTAGTATCATCTGCGAAGAGTGGAAGGAAAAGTCTGCTCTCACTCTTGTCAGGAAGGGTTTCGCCGGGGAGTCGATCCTTGGGGGACATGTTGAGTAGGCTAGCGTAGAAAATGATTGACCTGGATGGACTGCTCTGAGAGGGATAAGGCAGGAAAATTCCACGCCTTATTATGTTTACGTTCTGTATCTAAGATGATTCCCTACCTGTTTCTGATTGCTGACTGCTTTGATGCAACGTTGTTCCGGGCATCTGGTGCAGAAATCAGAATCCTAACATTCACCCCTGCCTAATGCATGCATACTGATTCGGAGGCTGACAAATCCAACAGCCACTCATCGATCTCACATCAGCTAATACAACATAAAGATGCCCTCCCTGTTTGGAGGGAGGAACATTTCGATAGGTAACTCCAGTTGGGTTATGCTCAATCAAGGTAGATATACGAATTACATCGCATTGAACAGAGAACCTTCAGCGCGATTGGTAGCGTAGCTGCTGGTTGCGGTCAGGGTAGGATGGGATATGCAGGAGATCATAAAAGTCGGTAGATCGACACGGCAAGAACACTGACCCCCACCTGATTCGAACAGATACCCTTCCGATCTGGAGTCGGACGCGCTACCGTTGCGCCAGAGGGCCGATGCGTGGATGCTGTGGTGCTGTGCGAGAGTTGAAGGCGTTGCCAGTTGCGCCAGAGGTCCTCGCTGTTAGGGATGGGTGGGAGGAGTCTCACAAACCCGGGTAGGCGGTTATAGTAGTGTTGCTTAATATGTTTGTAATAAAAACCTCCTCTCTCATGACGTGAATCTTGTAAGCATTAAAATACTGTTTATGCATGCAACTTTGGAAAGGCTTGCTAGACCCGAAGTAGGTTTCTGTCACAAGTATGAACATATCTAACTGGGGCCTAGCGAAATTAATAGGTGCATTATGTGTATCTCCATCGTCATCTCTATCATCTCCAACGCTTAGAATGATTTGGGACGCCGTCTTATAACTGACATTGCCGTGTTTGTTTGTGTTGGTATCGTGTCAGCAATCAAGTTTGGAAATGGCGAAAAAGGGCGGGAATGCATTCTCGGATTCAATTTCAGAGCGTCCTCGCTTTCGGGAATCTCTAGACCTAAAAGGTTCACAGATACTTTGTGATAGGAGTCCATGCAGGACTGGTTGTTACGTACGCAATATGCAGCAAAATAGACATTCCTCTTGTACAGATGATTGCATCATCTCCAATCTTATATTATTAGATGCTATTTCACGAAGTGGAGCGCATGGTTAGGCTCACGAATAGATAATAGTCGTTCTATCAACGCTTGAAATGGGTCGCTCGTACGCCATCTCATTCATGATCCAGGTATCCCTTCGCCTTGAAGGCACGCTGGAGAATCTCCCGGATAACGTTTTCTTTCCGAAGATTGTAGTCCATTACCTCCTCCCCGAGCGAGTTGCTCATCTCCGCCGCTTCCATCTTGGTCCTTGCATACAGCTCCCTATCATCATCATTCGCAATCAGCCACTCCTTCATGATAATATGCCTCACTAACTCCGCCGTGCCTTCCTTGAACACGTGCAAGTTGCAATGGTACGGCTCATACATGGCAAAAAAGCGGTGCTCATGCCACTCTGGCTCGCGCAAGATGAATTGAAACCCTACCCGCTCCAGAGCGGGCGCGTATGCGTCTTTGTCCGTGGGATCCGCTACAACCAAGTCGATATCGATGACGGCCTTGGCTGGGAGTCTGGGCACGGAGGTTGAACCGACATGATTTACGGACAAAGCGACCGGACCGAGAGCGCCGTCGATGAGAGATTTTATTTTCTCGAACTGCGCTGGCCACTCGGGGTTCGGGGGCTCGATAGCCAGGGGAAGATTGACCTTGCGCGTGGCGATGCGTTGTACTATTGAGGGGTCATACTCGTAGTTTTTCAAGATGTCTTCCACAGAGCAGGGCATTTTTTACTTAGTTATCGCAATGTGTTAAATTTGACCGTCTGCGAAGTTAGGTCGAAATGCACTCTTCTTTGTGACGAGGCAATGGAACTATTAGATAGGTTTCTCATAGGTCTCGAGTCGTGAATCCGAACTTGCTGCGCCTCCATTGCGGGGTTGTTGTCAACCAGAGTGAGTCTAGTACACCACCGGCGTGAGTCATTCGGCCAAAGCTGTGACTTGCATTGCATGCGCCTAAAGCTGCTGTGTCCCATGAGTATGTATGCGGTCCTTGAAACCTGCCGCACCGAGGCTCAGGGATCTCCGAGGTCGACAAAGCGATATGCCCAGAATGCGCACCAGACAAAGGTGATTCCGCAGAAGAAGAAGCTGACAAGGTAGAACACGGCGGCCTGGAGCAGTCAGCAACCACACTGTTAAGCAAACATAATCGGAAGACGCTCACTTTGCTTGCGCCAACCCATCCCTGCCCATCGTACAGCGGCGCGCAGACGTAGACCGTCAACCCCCCCAGGAAGCAAATCGCCGAGTACGCCATGAGCATCATGGGCGCCTGCCAAGTGAAGACCATGTTCCACCGGATCTCGACGAGCGGCATCTCCTTGGGGAACCACCCCCCCTTGTCCTTGATTTTGATGGCGCGGATCTGCGGGATGGGCGGCAGTTCCTCGAGGGGCGAGTGTAGTGGTTCGACTTTTCTGCTGCGACGGATGTAAAGGATCATGGCGAGCTCCTTGTCGACGTTGCGCGGCGTCGGCGAACGGTGGAGCGTCTGGAAAATAAACTGCTCAGAGGCAGCGAGCAGGATTGAAAAGAGCGAGAAAGAGATGCTGGCGTCCCAGAATGCCGGGCCGAGCCAATGCAGCGAGTCTGGGGGTGGCCATGAGAAGCAGCCGATGACGGCGGCAGAGATCAAGGTGCTCTAACAACGGTCAGTTACCTGGGGATGCTCAATTTGGCATGCAGAGAGCGGCAGAACACCATGAGACCTACAGCAACTTGGACGAGCTGGAACTCGCTTAGTTTGCGATCTCGCCACCGCTTGAGCTGTGCTGAGATTTCCTCATCGTTCTCGCGATCCTCGACGGCTTTCGCGATTGCCAGTATAGGCAGCAAAGTGTTCTGCTGGTAGAAGCGATTGTATGGGAGCGTGAGAATGTCGGTGGCAATGTGAGCGATTTTGCTGCTAATGGTTACGAAAACGATCTAGAGTTATGGCGCGTAAGTCCATAAACTTGGAGGGTGGTGCATAGTATCAGGAGTGAGATTGAACCTTACTGCAATTCTGAGGCCGCGGTCGCCCTTGGGCACTCCCGGAACGTCGGTCACACCCTTTTCCCTGTCCATTTCGCTATAATCTTTGGTATACCATATTGCACTCTACCCTGTTGGCTAGACGAGTTTATGTACATTCTCAGACTTCTTCTGCAGGCAGCTAGCAGGCAGGCCATGTGCGGAATCCGCACAAAGAAGCAGATGACTGGCTGGTTACCCGTGACCGCGGTGCTCCCCCACATCTGACAGGTGATGGTGTCCCTCAAAGGCTCCAACTCACAATGTCTTAGACCGATAGCCTCGCGACCACCACCTAATGCTCAGCTTAGCGTCAACTGACGAATCACTGCCTCGAATCAGTCATGGAGCACGGCGTAATGAGCCCCTTCCTTGCTCATAGGCCGCCGCATGTTTGCAGGCCGGGAAACCTCTCGCAGCCGTGTCATGGGGGGAGGTGAGACCTCCTCAGCTTCCGCGTGTCTGGATACGAGCTCATGCTCATGTACAGGCTGGTTTGGGGCGCTCAGCCCTTCTTCATCTCAGCCTGGAACTTGACTGTCCACTCGGTAAACTCGTCAGTTTCACCAGACCAAGGTGTCTTTAGCAGTTCCGAAAGCGCAACAACCTCGTTGAAGCACAGGGCCATGGCCCGATCGATTTCGTCAGGCGAGAGCTCATAAAATGCGCCAGCAAGCTCGTCAAACATGTGCGGTAGCTTCCTGAGGATGCGCATTGCCTCGTCAAGGCGCTTGGGGACGCCGGAATTGTCAGAAGGGAGCTCGGGAAGAGCTTTCAGCCGCCTCTTGATAATGGCCTGGTAGAGGAGTGTGGTGAGCCTGAGGCGCTTCAGGCAGGACTCGAGGCGGTCGCGGATCTTGTCGGGGTCCTCACGAGGAATCGTGCCCTGACCGGACATCATATCGTCAATCATTTCTTGGGCCGAAGGCATCATGGAGCCCAACGCAGAGTCGTGGTCCAGATCATCGGCATCTTCGTCGTCGTCCTCTTCGTCATCAGGCTCCTCCTCACCCCATTCCTTGAGTTCCTCCATAACATCCTTTAGCGTCGCCCTGAACTCCTCAACCTTCTTGACAAAACAGCCGCCAATTCCGCCGTTGGAGAATTGCGTAACATCATCGCAGGCAGACCAAATGACACCTGTAGCAGCCATGCTGCCCTTGCCAGAAGTGCCTGCGGACCCTGACTTTTGCGCCGAGGAAAGAGTCTTGCCATCCTTGGGGATCTTTTCTACCAAGCCCCTGAGTTCCTTCAACACAGTATAGCACTTCCAGGATAGATCCGTTCGAACAGTCGAGGTGTAGCGCCCTGCGTCGCATGCTTGGGCGGCTGTAGCTATGCCCGGGATCGGCCCGCTGACGAGCTCGCGGAGGACTTTGATAATGGCCGAGGGCGTAAACGGCTCGTTAATGATTAGGACAGAGATCTTGGTGGAGTGGGCCTTGATTAGGGATGCAGAGTCGCGGGCAAGCGGCAAGGGATCAACGGAGGAGGTATCGGCCTGCTGAGGCATGTCTTTGCCACTGTTGATAGCAAATAGCACCGCCTCGAGTTGTTGAATAAGTGCGATGGCCGTGTCTGTCAGCGCATTGAGCGCAGCGGGCGAGCTGTTGGCGGTCGATGAAGCCATGTTGTTTGACGCGCTTTAGATTTTGGTGGATTTGAGAAAGTGTGGGTTGACCCGTCTCCTGGAGACGTTGGCGTGGAAGGTCGGCTTGGAAGGAGGATATTTTGTGTCTAGCCTCCCATCGACTAGAAACAGGCACAAATATTAGTTTCAAGAATCATCGAAAAGTGAGATAGCAGCAAAAACCATTTTGCCCCGCACCTGCGCCTTTGGAGGGGTAAGATACGTACTTTTCTGTCCGTCTCTTCTCTGCTGGCTTCCCGCCTGGTCAGTGCTTTGTGATCCTTCACTTCCGCCTCCCCCAACTTCACTTTTAGTGTAGGTGCACTACACTTTCACAATGACGCGACGCGGATGGAGCTCTACACATTGACACTCAACAGGGGTCCACCACGCACGTGACCGTCACCGTAGCCATCAGCCTCCCAGCTCCAGCTCGCGCCCCCTGTCCGTTGAAACCCACCCCAAGCGTTTTGGGTGAGCTGGAAGTTACAAGTAGCCCCATACCTGGCTGGACATTCCTCTCCCTATACCTCACCTTCCTTACCTTCCAGACTTCCACCTTCGGTCTGGATCTGGACACATTCACTGGCACAGCAACTACCACGACAACTCTGATTTGACTTTCGGGTGTTGAATGAGAGCTACGGTGCCCTGAACCCTGATCAAGATGCGCCAAAGCTACAGCCTGGTGCTTGCTGGCACCTTCCTGTCTGCCGCCGCACCTGTCTCGGCCAGTAGTTTGCCGAGAGGTGTTGGCCCCGAATGTAAGTGTTTACCGCCTACGTATTGGACCCCGGATCAAAGGGCTTGTGCGCTTCAATGCCGCTCGTACTGGGCATGGATTGTCCCTTTTCTCTGTGGCCATAGTGTCCTTGTTACGCCATCAATTGACATCGGCCTTTGTTTGGCGGTCTGTGATCTGTCACTAACACGATCCCTTTCAGTCACCAAGTTCTTCGAGGCCACAGAAACCTTCTCCTGTATCGGTCACCCCGAAATCAAACTCGGCATTAAGCAGGTCAACGACAACACGTGTGACTGTCCAGATGGCTCCGATGAGCCCGGCACTGCAGCTTGCGCCTACCTCGACCCCCTCTCCCCCCCTCAGCCCTTCACCGGCTCCCTGACGGGTACCACCAATACTACGAATGCCCTACCCGGCTTTTGGTGTGCCAACGCCGGCCACATCGGCATGTATGTTCCCTTCATGTTCGTCAACGACGGCCACTGCGACTACGATGTCTGCTGCGACGGAACCGAGGAGTATAGCGGTGTCGGCGGTGTCAAGTGTGAGAACAAGTGCGCCGAGATTGGCAAGGAGTACCGCCGCGTTGAGGCCGCGCGTAAGGATGCCATTGATAAGGCTGCTAAGAAACGCAAGACGATGGCCAAAGAGTCTAGGGAGCTCCGCCGTCGTGTCGAGGCCAAGGTCAATACCCTCAAGGATGAGGTCAAGGGTCTTGAGATTCGCAAGGATGAGCTTGAGCAGAAGTTGCATGAGATTGAGCGTTCTGAGAAGGGCAAGGTCGTCAAGGGCGAGGGTTCTGGTGGGAAGCTCGGCACTCTTCTGAACCTGGCCAAGACCCGTGTCACCGAGCTCCGTGAGACACTCGAGGACGTCGTTGCCCACCGCAACGAGCTTCAGAACAAAGTCAAGGAGCTTGAGGGCATTCTTAGCCGCTTCAAAGAGGAGTACAACCCGAACTTCAACGATGAGGGCGTTAAGCGCGCCGTGAAGAGCTGGGAGGACTACGCCGCCAACCTTGCTAACGAGGCCCTCCCCGATGGCCTGGAGGCTGACATCAAGGAGGTCCTTGTCGAGGATTCTGAGACCTCGGGCATCAACTGGAAAGACTTCGAAGAGGATGACGCCTCCGACACTGATATTAGTATGTGAGCCCCTAAACTATCATTAAGTGCATGATTTAACGAATCCCAGTCTACAACTTTGAGGCCTACCTCCCCGACGCTGTCCGCGAGTTTATCCATGGAAAGCTCCTCTCCCTCCGCGTCTGGATGATCGAGAATGGTCTGGTGGCCGACAACAACAAACCCAATACCGAATCTCGTCTGGTCAAGGCTGCTCGCGAAGCCTTCAACTCCGCCAACGGCGATCTTCTGGAGAAGAAGCGTCAGCTGGACAGTGAACAGAAGGACCTCGAGAAGGATTACGGCACCGATGACATTTTCCGTGTTCTCAAGGATAAGTGCGTCAGCACCGAGGTTGGCGAATACGAGTACGAGCTCTGCTGGATGGATAAGACCAACCAAAAGTCCAAGAAGGGCGGCGGCCATACCAACATGGGCAACTTTGTCCGCATAGACAAGGAGATGGCCGACGACGAGGAGCGCGTCGACGGCAAGAGCCTCGGCAAGGGCCTCCGTATGGTCCTCCGCTACGAGAACGGCCAGGGCTGCTGGAATGGCCCGCAGAGACGTACTGACGTCTGGCTCGCCTGCAGCGAGACGGAAGAGCTCTGGAAGGTCTCAGAATCGGAAAAGTGCGTTTACAAGATGGAGGTGGGCACGCCCGCCGTTTGCGATGAGCTGTTGGAGCCTCCTGAGCCCAAGGGCAAGGATGAGCTGTAAAGGAACGGAACGAGGACACGCATGGGATGCGTACAAAGATTTAGCATTTGGGTCTGCTTAGCTTGGCGTAAGGGTCGTCTGACTTGGACCGAGTAAAACTAGTTAGAAGGGCTGCATTAGAAATCGCGAAAACGCTTTGTTGCGCACTGATTGACATGTCGTTATTCCCAGAATAGGTATTTGAGAACGATGGTGCTGTCCGGGGGTGTTGGGGTATCGCCTGGAATAATTGCTTTTCCTCACATTTGTCTACAAGCGCCGGGGTACTACCCTCTCGAGGAGGCCATCTTTCTCCGCTTACTGAGTTCTTCCTGCTCAGCCATCACCTTGGCGGTTAATGATGCCGCCATGGGATTGTTGATTCCGCCGATCCTCCCGGAAGCCCCTTTTTTGACAGAGTCTGCAGCGATCGAACCGTCTACTGCCCTCTTTTTGTCTGCTTTGCTGCCCTCCTGGGCGTCATCCTCCGCCTTCCGCTTCTTCTTTTTGTCCTTCTTGTCTTTCTTCAAGCTATGAGCGAGTCCCGCGGCTTTCAAGTCGTCCGTCCTTTTCACCAGTTTTCTAAGCTCAGATTCCTCCACTGGTAAGATGGGCACCACGTTCTCGCCTTTAAACTCTTCGCTGCATTCGGGACATCTCGACTCTTGGATCTCCTTGATAGCAAGCTCGGCGAACACATGGCCGCAGGGAACGAGGTAAACGGCCTTGACCGAGGGGCCCAGCTCCTTCAAAGAGATAGGACAAGCCCAAACATCCTTTTTCGTCCCAGGCGGGGTATGTCGGTGAAACCGCAGCTTCACGATGTCGCGCAATGATTTGATGCCGGTGGAAGCGAATGTGAGCTCTTGGGAATCAGGGTTGGACGGCGGCGACTCGGTGTTGTCATCAGAGGGCATAAGGCCCTGGAGGATGGACTCGTAATTGTAGAGGCGGCCACGCCAATCTGAGACGACATTGTCTTTGTCGAGGGGCTGTCCTATGCGGGGGTCATTGTTCCAGGCATGTCCAAGGGACTCTAGGGCATTCGCTTTCAGTTCGCTGACAGTGAGGGCGCGGGCAGCTTCTTTGACGAGCTCGCGGCGTTTGGGAATGGAGCCGCCGTCGTTACCCATGGCGACTGGCGGACAAACGAAGAGGGAAATGTGATGCTGAGATGCGGAGCAAAGGTCGAAGCTGGATGAGTCTGTGGTCTAATATCAATAGAGTCCAACAAGTGGTGGCGAAGTCAGTAGGTAGTTTCGCGAGTCGTCGTAATGGTCAGTTGGTATCATCACATATGCGACACAGAAAACGGCCCGTCGCATGGTCACAGTACTTGGTATCCCAGTGCCACCCGCTGGCGGGCTGATAAGATAAGGGGAGAAAAGGTTAGGAATGGACGAGCTCCTGGGGTAGCAACAATGCGCCTCCTCTATGGAGTACTGCGACTGCACGGTGGAAGCTCCTCGGTTTAGGAACTGGGTGCCACAGTGGAGAATTAGTAGACAGTGCGTAAAGTTCCAATTTCCATACGCAACGGTGTTGAGGATCACTGTGTGAGCACGGTATACTCACCAAGGTACTCCCGTTCTTTGCGCCACTGCTGCCTCCAGCGGTTGACCCTCCATTCCACTGTCGCACTTTCCGTCACTTGCAGACTGGTCTTGCTCTCGGCCTGGTTCTCGTACCTCCCATCAATTGAGCCTCTTCACTTTATCTTCAGGACCACACCATCCCTCCTTTTTCTGATTTCATATTCCTCTCCCAACTGTGCTTCTATACGCCCTTTTGCTCGGTAACAAGTAGCCGCCGACTCGACGCAGATACCCAACGACAATATTTCCCCTCTTTCGCGGTCGGGAGCGCGCCACCTCCTCGCATTCGAACCCGAAATCGACCATCAAACGCCTCCCTCCCCCGAACTCTCGTCAGCGCAAACCTTTCCCTTCACCGCCGGTCGATGTTTCTCTTACTCTGATTCTCGAACGCTCGGGTGCGCCAGCCAGTGAGCCATGGCGACCCAACAACAGATCGCTCTCGAGCGACTTGACAATCTTGTCAGGGACCTGAGGTCTCGGTAGGCCTCCCCGCCCCTCACATCAACTATCAAGATGGACCTTGAACATAGCTTCTAATTCTCCCCCAGAACCTCGGACGATGTTCGAAAGCGAGCAGCATTGCAGCTTAGAGAGCTCGTGCTAGTTTGTCATCGAGGTAAAACCATCCACTCCTTGACCCCGGCACTGCCTACTACAGCCAACTGACCTGCCATCTTCGCAGACCTCCCTCTCGAACAATTCAACACCATCTACGGGCACGTCAACAACAAAATCACACAGCTCATTTCTCACGGAAATGACTCCTCCGAACGCTTGGGCGGCGTCTACGCCCTCGACGCCCTCGTCGACATTGAAGTGTCCGAGCAGTCAACCAAGATGTTCGCCCGTTTCAACCAAAACCTCAAGACAATACTGCGCGGCAAGGACATCAACCCGATGCAGGCCGCCGCTGTTGCCCTGGGAAAAATGTGCCGACCGGGCGGTTCTATGATAAGCGAGCTGGTTGAGTCCGAAACCCAGATGGCCCTCGAGTGGCTGCAGAGTGAACGAGTTGAGGAGCGCCGCTATAGTGCAGCCCTCGTCTTGCGCGAGTTGGCAAGACAAGCACCTACCCTCATGTACAATTATGTCGGCCTGGTGCTTGACCTCATCTGGAACAGTCTGAGAGATAACCGCCACCTTATTCGCGCCACCTCTGCCGAGACCGTTGCTGCATGTTTCCGGATCATTAGAGAGCGAGACCAGGAACTGAAGCAGACATGGATGGAGAAGGCTTATGCCGAACTTTTGCGCGGGTTGCAGCACGGCACCGTCGAGTACATCCACGCCTCACTTCTCATGCTCAAGGAGCTCCTCGAGCAGGGCGGCATGTTCATGCAAGAGCACTATCCCGAAGCGTGCGAAATCGTCTTGCGGTACAAGGATCACCGCGACGTCACAATTCGGAAGACCGTCGTCCTCCTCATTCCCGACCTTGCGAGTTACTCCCCCGCCGAGTTTGACCGAAGCTACCTGCACAAATTCATGGTCTACCTCTCCGGCATGCTCAAGAAGGACAAGGAGAGAAACGACGCATTTCTTGCTATTGGCAATATTGCGAACTCGGTCAAGAGCGCCATTGCCCCGTACCTCGACGGTGTCATGACCCACGTCAGGGAAGGCCTGAGCTTGGCAGCTCGCAAGAGGGGTTCAGTCGACGCCGTCTTCGAGTGCATAAGCCGCCTCGCTGTTGCTGTTGGCCAGACTCTCAGCAAATACATGGAGGCTCTTCTTGATCCCATCTTCGAATGCGACCTGACGCCAAAGCTGACCCAAGCCCTTGTTGACATGGCCTTTTACATCCCGCCAGCCAAGGATACCATCCAGAACCGATTGCTCGATATGCTCAGCATGGTCCTTTGTGGAGAGCCTTTCAAGCCCCTGGGAGCCCCGCATCCGAACACGCTCACAGCCGTGCCCGCTGTCCCAAAAGACTCCAAAGACCCTATGGCTTACGAACACCGCAAAGCTGAAGTCAAGCTTGCCCTCAACACACTTGGCAGCTTTGACTTCACCGGGCACGTTCTCAACGAGTTTGTCCGTGACGTGGCGGTGAAATATGTTGAGGACGAAGACCCAGAGACAAGAGAGGCTGCTGCCCTTACTTGCTGCCAGCTCTATGTGCGCGATCCAATTGTCAACCAGACAAGTTACCATGCACTCCAGGTTGTTGGCGATGTCATTGAAAGACTGCTCACGGTCGGCGTATCGGATCCTGAGCCGAATATCAGACGGACGGTCCTCGCAGCCCTCGATGAGCGCTTTGACAGACATCTGGCCAAGGCAGAGAACATTCGCACCCTTTTCTTTGCACTCAACGACGAAGTCTTTGCCATCAGGGAGGTTGCAATCTCCATCATTGGTCGTCTTGCCCGATTTAACCCTGCCTACGTAATCCCTTCCTTGCGCAAAACTCTCATCCAGCTTTTGACCGAGCTTGAGTTCTCTGATGTCGCAAGAAACAAGGAGGAAAGCGCAAAGCTGCTCAGCCTGTTGGTACAGAATGCCCAGGGACTGGTCAAGCCATACGTTGACCCGATGATGTCGGTTTTGCTCCCAAAGGCCAACGACCCCAGCGCTGCTGTGGCCGCAACAATTCTCAGGGCTATTGGCGAGTTGGCGACTGTCGGTGGTGAAGAAGTGTTGCCATACAAAGATAGGTTAATGCCTCTGATCATCGAAGCCCTGCAAGATCAGAGCTCAAACAACAAGCGCGAAGCAGCTCTCCACGCCCTGGGCCAGCTGGCAAGCAACTCCGGCTATGTCATCGAGCCCTATCTGGAATATCCTCAGTTACTGGAGTTGCTCCAGGGTATTATCCGCACTGAAGGTCAGCGCGGGCCTCTTCGACAGGAGACCATCAAGCTGATGGGTATTCTGGGAGCCCTGGACCCGTACAAGTACCAGCAGGTGGAGCAGCGTCGCCCAGATGCCGAGCGCCGTGTTGAGAGCACTCAAATGACGGATATTTCTCTTATGATGACGGGTCTTACGCCATCCAGCAAAGAGTACTTCCCAACAGTTGTCATCAATGCGCTTCTTCAAATCCTCAAGGACAACTCTCTTTCGAACCATCATGCGTCTGTCATTGAGGCCATCATGAATATCTTCCGTACCCTCGGTCTGGAGTGTGTATCGTTCCTCGACCGAATTATCCCGGCTTTCCTCGGCGTGATTCGTGCGGCAGACAAGACACGTCTCGATTCTTACTTCAGCCAGCTGGCCACACTAGTCTCTATCGTCAGGCAGCACATTAGGAACTTTCTGCCCGAGATCGTCGAAAGCTGTCAGGAATTCTGGAATACCACAAGTACGCTCCAGTCCACAATCATGAGTCTGGTGGAAGCCATTTCCCGCTCACTCGAGGGCGAGTTCAAAATCTATCTCGCCGGGTTGCTACCCCTAATGCTTGGCGTACTTGAGAAGGACACCACCACGCGGCGGACGCCGTCTGAGAAGGTCCTCCACGCATTCCTCGTCTTTGGCTCAAGTGCTGAGGAGTACATGCACTTGATCATTCCTGTTATTGTCAGGACGTTCGAGAAGCAAGGCCAGCCCACCCCATTAAGGAAGCAAGCGATTGAGACGATTGGCAAGATTACGTATCAGGTCAATTTGAACGACTACGCCGCCAAGATCATTCACCCGCTCACCCGCATTCTGGGTAGTGGAGATATCACGTTGCGCGTTGCGGCTCTGGACACCCTCTGTGCATTGATCCAGCAGCTCGGCAAGGATTACCTCCACTTCATGGGCACTGTCAACAAGGTCCTCGCACAACATCAGATCCAGCACCAGAACTATGACTTGCTGGTCACCAAGCTCCAGAAGGGCGAGGTGCTCCCGCAAGACCTTGGTGCCGGAGACCGCTTTATTGACCGTGTTGATGACCAAGCAGCGTTTGCCGACCTCGGTGCAAAGAAGCTGGAGATGAACGCCATCCATCTCAAGCAGGCGTGGGACACGAAAGGCAAGTCAACCAAGGAGGATTGGCAGGAATGGCTTCGTAGGTTCTCCACGACCTTGCTCACTGAGTCGCCCAATCATGCGCTCCGCGCCTGCGCCGCTCTTGCCAGCTCTTACCTGCCGCTGGCGCGCGAGCTGTTCAACTCAGCATTCGTTTCATGCTGGAGCGAATTGTACGAGCAGTTCCAGGACGAGCTGATCCAGAACATCGAAAGCGCCATCAAATCCGAGAATGTCCCCCCCGATCTGCTCGGTCTTTTGCTCAATCTCGCCGAGTTTATGGAGCACGACGACAAGGCATTGCCCATCGACATTCGAGTGCTCGGCCGTGAGGCTGCACGCTGCCACGCCTATGCGAAGGCCCTTCACTACAAGGAGTTGGAGTTTCTGCAGGATCAAAGCAGCGGGGCGGTTGAAGCTCTTATCGTGATCAACAACCAGCTCCAGCAGTCTGATGCAGCCATTGGTATTCTCCGTAAGGCACAGCTTTACAAAGAGGGAATTCAGCTTAGAGAGACGTGGTTCGAGAAGCTGGAGAGATGGGAGGAGGCTCTTGCCTTTTACACAAAACGCGAAATGGAGGTTCCTGACGACAAGCCTGTGCCCGTCGAGATTATCATGGGCAAGATGCGATGTTTGCACGCTCTCGGCGAGTGGGAGGCTCTAGCGGGCATCGCCGGCAATACCTGGGCCAACTCCTCGCCAGATGTTCAGCGTTTAATTGCTCCTCTTGCAACCGCAGCTGCATGGGGCCTCAGCAAGTGGGATTCAATGGACAACTATCTGCAGTCCATGAAGCGCTACTCGACTGACCGATCATTCTTTGGCGCTATCCTCGCTCTGCACCGCAACCAGTTTAGGGAAGCTGTCAACTGCGTGCAGCAAGCTCGAGAAGGCCTCGACACGGAGCTCAGTGCACTGGTTAGTGAGTCGTACAACCGAGCTTACCAGGTCGTGGTTAGAGTCCAGATGCTGGCCGAGCTTGAGGAGCTCATCGTCTACAAACAGACCGACGACAAGAAGAAGGCGACAATGAGACGCACCTGGGAGACGAGGCTCAAGGGCTGTCAACGAAACGTGGAGGTGTGGCAAAGGATGCTGCGTCTCCGCCATTTGGTTATCAGCCCGACGGAGAACATGCACATGTGGATCAAGTTCGCCAACCTATGCCGCAAATCTGGTCGCATGGGGCTCGCTGAGAAGTCCTTGAAGCAGCTTATCGGCGTCGAACAAACTCCTCTGGAGTCCCTAATCCCTTACTGGAATGAGAGACAGCAGCCAAGCGCCGCTGTTCCGAGAAACATCCCGTCCCAGGTTATCTACGCTATGCTCAAGTATGAGTGGGAGGTTGGTCAGCAGCCCGCGTTCCGCACATCCGGCATCTCCGAGAGGACCCTCTACTGCCTTCGCAAGTTCACGAACGATTCGGCACACCGGTATGAGGCGACCAAGGCTCATCTCACGGCGCAGGCTCCCAATGGAATGGACTTGTCAAGCGAATATGGATTTCCTCATCAGATTGATCCCAGCCTCATGAACCCTCAAACGCAGAAGGCCCTCTACGATCAGACCGTCCTCTTGGCCAAGTGCTACCTGCGCCAAGGTGAATGGCTCATTGCCTTGAATAAGGAGAGTTGGCAATATGAGCACGTCCAGGATATCTTGACTTCGTACTCCCAAGCCACGAAGTACAACCCGCGTTGGTACAAGGCATGGCACGCATGGGCTTTGGCCAACTTTGAGATTGTGCAAGCCCTGGCCACTAGGGGTGAAAGGACCGACCACATGGTCATTGAGCATGTTGTACCGGCTGTCCGGGGCTTCTTCAAGTCCATTGCTCTTTCTGCTGGTAGCTCTCTGCAAGATACCCTCCGTCTCTTGACGCTCTGGTTTACACACGGTGCGAGTGCCGACGTGAACGCGGCCGTCACTGAAGGGTTCACCAACGTCAGCGTCGATACCTGGCTTGAGGTCATTCCACAGCTGATCGCTCGAATCAACCAGCCGACACGTCGCGTACAGCAGTCGATCCATAGCCTTCTGGCAGATGTTGGTAGAGCACACCCGCAGGCTCTGGTTTACCCGTTGACTGTGGCGATGAAGTCGTCGCAAAACACTCGCCGATCGAGATCCGCTGCTCAGATTATGGATAGTATGCGTCAGCACAGCGCCAATCTCGTTTCACAAGCCGATATCGTGAGCCACGAACTTATCAGGGTCGCGGTGCTATGGCACGAGCAATGGCACGAGGGTCTCGAAGAAGCTTCGCGGCTCTACTTTGGGGATCACAACATCGAGGGCATGTTTGCTACTCTCGAACCACTCCACGACCAGCTTGAGCGTGGCCCGGAGACTCTACGTGAGATATCTTTCACCCAAGCCTTTGGAAGAGACCTCACCGAGGCCCGCGAATGGTGCCGTCAGTACGAGGCTAGCCGAGACGTCAATGATCTCAACCAGGCATGGGATCTCTACTACCAGGTCTTCCGGCGCATCTCGCGACAGTTACCTCAGCTTACTACGCTTGAGCTGCCCTACTGTTCGCCGAAGTTGCTCGCCGCCAAAGACCTCGACCTCGCGGTACCCGGAACCTACCGCAGCGGCCAGCCAATCGTCCGCATCATGGAGTTTGAGGGTACGTTTACTGTTATCAACAGTAAACAGCGGCCTCGCAAGCTCAACATCAGTGGCAGCGACGGTGTTTCGTATGCCTTCTTGCTCAAGGGCCACGAGGATATCCGCCAGGACGAACGAGTTATGCAGTTGTTCGGTTTGTGCAACACCTTGTTGGCGAACGATTCGGAGTGTTACAAGCGACACCTGAACATCCAGCGGTACCCGGCGATTCCGCTCTCCCAAAACTCGGGTCTGTTGGGATGGGTACCCAACAGTGACACTCTCCATGTGTTGATTAGGGAATACCGTGAGAGCAGAAAGATCCTCCTTAATATCGAGCATCGTATCATGCTCCAGATGGCCCCCGACTACGACAACCTGACGCTCATGCAGAAAGTCGAGGTCTTTGGCTATGCCCTTGACAACACGACGGGTCAGGATCTCTATCGTGTGCTGTGGCTCAAGAGCAAAAGTTCGGAGGCTTGGTTGGAACGCCGTACCAACTACACGCGCTCCTTGGGCGTCATGTCAATGGTTGGATACATCCTCGGTCTTGGCGATCGTCACCCGTCTAACCTCATGCTCGATCGTGTGACTGGCAAGATAATCCACATCGACTTTGGCGACTGCTTCGAAGTGGCTATGAAACGCGAGAAGTATCCAGAGCGTGTGCCATTCCGACTGACCCGCATGCTCACCTACGCCATGGAGGTGAGCAACATTGAGGGCAGCTTCCGCATCACTTGCGAGCACGTCATGAGAGTGCTGAGAGACAACAAGGACAGTGTTATGGCTGTCTTGGAAGCGGTAAGTCTATTCGTTTTGCCCCTTGCTGCTGGCTTCAGCTAATCCGGTTCTCTAGTTCATCCATGATCCCCTTCTAACCTGGCGCCTTACGAATGCGGCCAGCCCGGCGGGACCGAACTTCCGATCTGAACGCGAGTCGGCTCTTGCTGGCCCACAAGCCGCGCGAGCCCGTCGCCCATCCGTTCTCGATGCTGATGTGGCGCCATCCGAACTGCTTGCCGCGGGCGATCCTGGTATGCCGGGAGGCGCCGTAGCACGCTCTCGGTCGAGAACCAACTCTTCCATGGCTCACGAAGGCAGTGTTGTCAACGGTAACCACGGACAAGACCCGACGGAGATCCAGAACGCACGGGCCGTGGAGGTATTGGACCGTGTTTCTCAGAAGTTGACGGGCAAGGATTTCAAACCGAATGAGGAGCTTGATGTCATCAATCAAGTCAATAAGCTCATCACGGAGGCGACGAAGCTGGAGAATCTCTGCCAGCATTACATAGGATGGTGCAGCTTCTGGTAAACCAGTCGGTGCGTGCACGAGATCTTCTGCCGGGAGTCGCGAGAGACGAGCCAAATGTTACTGGAAACAGAGGCAACTCTTTGGAGTTCTGGAAAGGCCTTTGGCTGGGTTGTCCATCGCTGCGGCGTTGGCGAGTATCTCTCTTCGATGTGTGAGTAGCTTCCCTGGCCTGTATGTCAGGTCTTTTTTCTTCAGCTTCTGTATATGTATACCGGATCACGGGTCACGCGGGGACGATTTTTTGTCAGGGGCCGCACACGGCCTTTTTCGTTTGGACGAGGCATATGGCATGGCGTAATGGTAACCAGAAAATTCAATGGCAATTTCCTACATGGTATTCCGGCATAGGAGTGAGATATGACGTACACAACTGCCCATTCGAGTCAATAGCGTCTTGTCTATCCATTGCCACGCTCTCACTATCATAATCAACTCCTTCTCCTATTTCCGTGAACCGCTTCATTTCTTAACCTTTGTCAAAATGGCACCAAAGGGCAGGGCCGGGATTGTCTTGGTCGGCCCATCCGCTGTGGTGGTGAAGGCAAAGTCTTCCAAAGCGAAGTGATTGAATGTGTTACGGTCGATCAGACACCAGGTTTGACATCCGCCTTCGGCATAGGACAGCTTCTTATCGACCTCTGGTTCATCATGGTTCTTGTACACAGTGCATCATGACCACTGATCGCCTTCGCGGATGTTGGTCCCTCCTACTGACGTGGAAGGTCTTACGCGAGGGGCTCGGACTGTATATAGTTGGAGATATTGGGGAGCAGGTCAACACCACGAACTTTGTAGTCGTTAGTGACAAGCCTAGGCCGCGTGGTCAATGGACAAAGTTCGTCTTCTGGTCGGTGAAGGTTCCGGCAACGGCCGCGTGGGCAGATTCTTTGCTGGCCTTCTCAAGGGTTAGGATGAGAACCTTCATCACGAGGGAGATGTCTTGCGTCGGCAATGAGAATGTAGCTGCCGACTGTGCGCCGGTCGCATGGATGAAGGTAACGAGGTCGTAGTCGGGAACGATGATGAGCACGTTGGTAGAGAGACCGAGGTCACCGAACTTGATGTAGAAGGACACGGGAACGCCCGATTCGAGAAGCGTGAAAGACGCCCAGATTTCCCAGGGCGCGCTGATCGAGTATCCCCGCGAAAAGTTAAAGACATGGGGCTTCAGCCAGAATCCCACGTTGATGCCAATATCAGACGAGAGGATCGCGGCGCCGAAGGTAAGCATGTCACGTTTGTTGGTGTAGATGCCACCGGCAGAGGCGTAGATATCAAGATCACCGCCCCATGTAGGCTCGCCTTTGGGGACAAAGCATCATACATTGTTCGCTGGGACGGCCATTGATGTATTGGTGAGGTCAAGGGGACTGAGGAAGGTCTTGACAAGAATATATTCATATGTCTTGTTATTGGTAGCTTCGACGACGGGGGAGAGAATTTCAAGGCCAATACTGAAGTAGACGAGAGTCGTATTGGGGCGAATGAGAGGAGGCGTGTTGTTGAGACCCGTCAGGAGGTCTGGGAATTGTCAGGTGACTTGCCTGGAACACTTGATAACTCTTCGTGTCATTGGCGGCGGGCGGGAGGCCTAAGGCTGCCCAGTTGCCAGGAAATACGGCGAGGTTAGTGGCAATTGGCTTTAGTTAGTGATGAAAGGGTATGCAATAAGGGGGGTGTACTCACTGTCACCCCCTAATCCAGAAAGGTGAGAAGTGAGGTCCCAGATGGTGATGTTATCCAATGGAATGAAGTTGAACTGACCCTCGTTCTGGACGGCCTCGGTCTTGAGCTGCAGGAGGTATTCGATCACAGAGTCTGTCTTCTTGATACAATGGTTCTGCAGGGCCACAAGAGTCGTGAACGGCTTGGTAATACTGCCACCGCGGTAAGTGGTGTGAATTTCAACCTTTGCAGTATTGCGGTTGTCTGCGACGCGCAGGGTGAAGGGCCAGTCAAAAGAAGAGGGTGGTCCTCGGGGATGAAATTTCCGTCGATGGAAACAGCAACCCCCTACAGGGAGGATATACGGTTGACGAGCCCCTCTTGGATCTCTTCAATGGTTTCCCTGACGGCCTTTAGGTCACTGGGAGTCTTTAATGATGGGATTGCTGTGCCAAGGGATGGATACAGATTGTCTCGGGTGCCCTTGAAGAGGGAGAACAAAGTAATGACATGCGCATGGTACTCGTAGTTAGCTGAGATCAAAAGATGAGGTGATTGTCGGGAACAGGCTGGACAAAAGAAAGAGCAGATACAGGATGCAAAACAGACTATGTGGTTTGTGCGGAGAAAAGGCGACTTGTAGCTGGCTTACTGACATGAGGTGCTGATGGAAGCAATTATCTCATTTACAACCACCTCAGCTTTTGCCCAACGGCGACAGATTTGAAGCTATCCTTGAACAGCGAATTTGGTGTTGGGGCTTCGCCACGAGAAAACACGTTGTAAGACATTGTTCAGTTATAGAATCAGGAGTTATTATAGACTGCAAATCAAGGACACTTAAAAGGCCAGACTTCAGAAAGACAATGATTGACAACGGACATACGTATTACGACGTAACGCTATTGAGCTTCTATCTGACCCAAGTTAATACATACGTCACGGAAAGTCCCGGGGCGCGTTCCTTACAAAGGCACCATAGTGATGCCCAAGTTTGTTTTTGCTATCGAGGTTATACCGCCGCTATCCTACGTCAGTATCAAATGTAGGCATCTGGTACTCCGGCAAGCCGCGGTGGACTTGCTGAGGCATAGCGCTGTTACGGTGGGGGGAGAAAACCAATGGGACTCACGGATGTTCTCCAAGATTGCTACGGGGTGCATATAATCGAAGAAGAATCCGCTCGTGGCCGCGAGGAATTGCTTGACGTGACCACAGGATGGGATATTGTTGGTATCACAGGGATCGCGATTAAGGTAGCCGCAATAGTATTAATTGACTATTAGTAGCTGGGGTGAAGATGATGAGAAAGGAAAAGAGAAGAGGTTGCTGCTGTAGGTATTTATAGTGGTGTAAGTGAGCCGCTAGGGTAAGTTATATAATAGTAAATTACATAACTATAGATTAGCTTTACTATTAAATAGTTAAATATCCTAACACTAGTAACTTTCTAAAGTAAAGGAAAATTACTATAAATAGCCTAGATACTACCTAGTAGCTAAAAAGCTTAAAAACGTAATAAAAATTAAAAGCCTAAAAGTATTTAATACTTTTTATTTATATAATCTATTATATAGCTTAAGAAACTTATCCCTTTATACTAATCTAAACTATTTTATTTTTAACTAGTTATTCTAGTGCCTTATTAAGTAATAATTTAGTAAATCTATTAGTAAGATTATTATTACCTTATATTTATTATACCTTATAGACTTTATATTACTTATATAACTACTAAAAGGCTATAATATTAATTATAAGCTTTTTTTTTTATAGTCTTAAGCTTAATAAGGTACTTATAAAGTAAGTATAAGTTAGTATAAAGGATTATTAGTATATATAGTAGCTTAAAGTAGTTAGTAATTATTATAATAGTTATACTAAGTATATAGGTAATATTAGTACTAGTAACTATACTATAGATCTTAAAGGCTAGTATACTTTAGGTAACTTACTTATACTTTATTAAACTAAAGTAAATAATATTACTAGTTATAGTAAATCTATTACTTATAGTAGTACTTATAGGTGCCTTATTAGTAAGAATAATAATAAATCCTAGCTATAAAGTAAAGTCCTTATTATTTATAAATAATCTATTTATAAAGATAAAAAGCTTTATAAATTTAAGGTTAAGTAAGTAAAATAATAAACTATAGTTAAGGTTATTTATTTACTATATAATATAATAGTTAAGTACTTTAATCTTATTTATATTAAGTAATTAGTATTATACTATAATAAAGTAGTTAAAGTACGCTTTAAGCTAGTAGACTAATATAATATATATACTATAGGCCTATTACTTAACGTACTACTTAGGTGCTTATAAAGATTCTTTATTAATAAGTTAAAGTCTTTTACCTTAGCCTTTTTATTAGAGAAAGAGCTTCCCCTTAGTAGTTAGAGATACTATACTACTATTAAAAGTAAGTAGGTTATTAATAGTAAGGATTTACTTCTCCTTAGTAGTAAATATAGCCTTAGTAAGCTTATTAGCCTTATAGGTAGAGAAGGATTTATCTAAAAGGGTAATAGTATTATTAGTCTATATACTAATAATCCTAAAGTCTAGGCTTTTTATATTAGTAATTAGTAGGTATAGATTAAAGGTTAAAGTCTTTATCTAGAGCTTTTCTTTATAGTAGTAACTATATATTACTTACTAGTAAGTGCTTACTTTTATAATACTATATAATAGCTTTACTACTTATATAATAGTGCTCTTTAGATAGAGGTCCTATATTTATAATAAAAGGTATATAAGAATTATATAATTTAATAAGGTAGTTAACTATATATATACCTAGGTAATATTATATAACTAAAATAAGAAATTATTATTATTATAAATAAAAGATAAAGTAAAAGTAAGAATAAGGTACTAGCTAGCTTACTAGATTATAAGTAACTAAGTAAGAATTACTTTTTTACTATTATTAGTATATCCTTAAATAACTAAGTAGGATTTCTTATATAGTTTTTTATTCTAGCCTTTTACCTTATTAATAATCTATAATTTAAATATTTATACTTTAGTATACTTATTCTTATTATATTAAATAAAGTAAAATACCTTATAGGTAATAAGCCTTTTAATCTTAGTAGTAGTTACTTACTTAAAGGGCTTCCTTAAGGTAGTAATAATACCTTTTTTTTATAGTTTAATTAATAATAGTTAGTTAGCTTCTTCTTTTATTAAGACATATACTATACTTATAGTAGTAAAGAAGGTAGTAGGCCTAATAGTAAAGCTAGTTTTATTAAAGAAATTAATATACTTCTATAAGCAGCTAGCTTTTTACTTTAGCTATAAGTATATAGTAATAGTAATACTATTATATATTTCTTTAGTAGGCGTAAAGATATTAGTAGGTAATAAGGCTATTATGCTATTATTATTATTCTCCTTATTACCTTACCTACCTACCTTAAAGAGTAGCTATTATTACTTATTATAGATATCTTTAAGGTATAGTTTAATAATAGTTAAATAAAAAGTTTATAGGCCTTAAGGGAGGTTAATAATATAAGTAGTTTTATTACTAGTAATAAGGTAAAAAGGGCCTTACTAGCCTTTTTTCTTATACTAAATATAGACTATAGATTAAAGTAAAAAAGCTACTATTATAGTAGTATTTAGGCTATTATATATAGTTACTACCTTATTAACTTACCTTTTTATATAGATTTAGTAAATAGCCTTTATTACTTTTCTTACTACTTTAGTCTTTTTAAGTAGGGTTAGTAAAAGTAGTAATAAGTTAAAGATTTATAGGTAGGCACTAAAGACTAGTAGTATAAGTACTAGGCTATTTAGGCTAGCTATATTATTAATTACTTTAACAGCTAGCTAAAGAGTAACTTTAGGTGTATAGCCCTTACTATAAAGGATATTATATATATATTAGAGGGGTATATAGTATTTTTTAACCTTACTAATACTATTATAGGCTTTAATTAGCATTTCTTTAATATTAATATAGAGCGACCTTACTAACTACTTAAATTTATTAGTATAAAAGTTTAGGCTAGTATTAGAAATAATCTAGTTAGGTAAGCTAAAGTAGATATTAATTTAGTATATCTAAAGTGCCTCTTATATATACTTTATAGTAATATTTTTAAGTAAATAGACTACTTAGAAGGATATTATAGTATTAACTATATATAAGGCTAGGTAGTTACTATTAAGGTAAATAATATTAATAATAATCTTATAGTTAAAGTTATATTTATTATTATATAGAGTAAATTTAAAGTAACTAGGCGCCTTTATATTTATTTAGTAGTAGTAGTAGACCTTAGTTAATTTCTTTAAGGCTGTAATCTTAACTTTATTACTAGATTATTAAAGGACGTAATAAAGCCTTTTAACTAATAGGTAGCTAAAGTAATAATAAATTTACTATAACTTAAGATTTATAAGATAGTAGTAGGTAATACTTTACTTATATTAATTAAGTAGTATTTATATATAGCCTTATTTATAGATAGTAGGTATAATAGTGTTACCTTAGATTAGCTTATTAGTAAGGTTATTAAATTTAATACTATACTAATCTAGATCTATAAGGTAAAGTAGAAATAAGGTATTTAATAGTATTATATAGAAGGTTAGTATACTAAAGGGGGTTAGTATGTTAATTACCCCTTATAATTTAAAGTAGTTACTACTACTAAAGTAGATTTTTACTTTACCTACCTATAACTTATCTATAGCTAGATTTCTTTTTATTTAGTAGTAAAAGATAAAATACTACTTATATCTAGCTATTAAATATTTAGCTACACTAGAGTTAGGTATAATACTATAGAATAAGATAAATAAATATTACTTATTAAAGGTAAAGACGTTTATATTAGGTAGCTTATTATTATATAGATTCTTATATAAGGAGTTATCTTTTATAAGAAAATAGGTTATAAATTACTTATATAGTAATATAAAAAGAGTAGGCCTATTAATAGTAGATAAGTTAAAAAATATTATTAATATATAAAACGTAGTACTTAATTTTTTATCTTTATTACTTTTTATATAGTTACCTTTTTTATTTAAAGTAAATAGCTTATATCCCTTAAAGTTAGTTATAAAGTAGTTAAAGGCTTTAGGTAAAGAGTCTGTTAGATACTGCTTTTTATACTGTCACAAGGTGACAATCCCTAATTAATTAGTAATTAGCTATATAAGTGGTGTTAACAGCAGTGCTTAGTGAGGACCACTTAAGCATTAGTAGATCTTTTAGCGTTCTAGCTTAATTAGGTAGAGCTAGGCGTTAGAAGGTCTATTAGCAGGCGCGTCACTATTAGCGCCCTGTTATAATTATACTTAAGTTCCTACAGTCAGGATAAACGTTAGCAGGATTAAATTAATAAGCTAGAGGCTTAGGGTTTAATTCCAGTCAGGCGCCTGGCCGTTAAGGGGAGGTTAGCTGGATTGCCTTTTGTAGAGTGCAGGGTTAATTACGTTAGTAACCTTAAGCCTTAGAGATTCACATCACTAGAGATACCTAGATGCCTTAAGGACAAGGCATAGAGGAGAGGGGTATATTGTCACAGGGTAATAATCCCTAATTAATTAGTAATTAGCTATATAAGTGGTGTTAACAGCAGTGCTTAGTGAGGACTACTTAAGCATTAGTAGATCTTTTAGCGTTCTAGCTTAATTAGGTAGAGCCAGGCGTTAGAAGGTCTATTAGTAGGTGCGTTACTGTTAGCGCTCTGTTATATATACTTATAGTAGGCTTATTACCTTTTATCTTTTAAGTGCCTTATTAACTAATAGTTAGGCTTACTATATATATAGTACTTTTTTATAAATAATAATAAGGGTAAAAAAGGTGCTTATTACTATAGATTACTATTAAAAGGGCGCTATAGTGTAAAGTTACTATAGCTATAGTTATATTAGCTAAATTACTAGTAACTTTACTAGCTATTATAGGTATAGTTAGTCTAGTATTAATTATTTACTTCTTTAGTTAGGTATTAATATATAAGTTATTTAAATTATATTATATTACTAATTACTAATAAAGCTAGCTATATATACTAGTAAATATTAAAGATAATTAAAAAAGGTAAAAAGGATTTTTTT